GCAATCAGCACACTGCTGCCTCAAACTCCTGGGCTCAAGTGATCCTCCCACCTCAGCCTCCCAAGTAGCTGGGATTACAGGTGTGCACCTCTGCACATGGCTAAAAATGTTTAATTTTTTATTGCTTTAGGAATAAAACCGAACAGATGAAAACATTTCAGTCTTCTCTTTAGGTTTATAACAAAAAACAAAGTAAAAATTACTTACCATTTCTCTCCCCATTTGCTGTCATAAAAAGGGAGATAGATAGTTGCTCAGTTTATTAAGAATGCTAGCTGTGAGACAGGCACAGTGGCTCACACCTGTAACCCCAGCATTTTGGGAGGGTGAGGTGGGCAGATCACCTGAAGTCAGGAGTTTGAGACCAGCCTGGCTAACATGGTGAAACCCATTTCTATTAAAAATACAAGAAAATTAGCCAGGCATGGTGGTGCACACCTATAATCCCAGCTACTCAGGAGGCTAAGCCGGGGAGGCGGAGGTTGCAGTGAGCCGAGATTGTGCCATTGCACTCCAGCCTGGGCAACAGACCGAGAAGACTCTGTCTCCAAAAAAAAAGAATGCTAGCTGTGAGTCCTGGGCCTGGCACTACAGACTAGCACTTCGCTCCTTGCTGTTTTCATCTAGAATAGGGGCCAGTAAACTACAGTTCCTGGGCTACTCACTCGGCCTACCACCTTGTTTTGTAAATAAACTTTTATTGGAACAGTGCCACCAAGCTCATGTGTTTATGTGATGTCTATAGCTGCCTTCATACCATAACAGCAAGGCTGAGTAGTTGCAACAACCACCCTATGGTCCACAAAGCCTAATATAATAACTATCTGGCCCTTTACAAAAAATAAGTTTGCTGACCCTTGATCTCTAAAATATAGGGGCTTCACCAGAAAAAAACTTCCTGAAATCTCTTGATTTTAGTGCTCTCTCAAGGGAACTACTGGGGGATGTTTTTAATCCATAAGCCCCAGCAGGATGTCATATATAGCTTTATCTGATATTTGCATTTTAATATTTTAGTCATATCTCTACATTTTTAATTCCTTGAGGTAACTGTGAAATGTTTGCATTTCATAATGCTAAAAAGTAAATGTAAAGTTAAATTTCAGTATGGTGGTAAAGTCATAAGTATTTCAATGTTGCTGAAAAGGCTGGTTCTGTTTTAAATGAAAGCATTCATTTAAAATATATGCAGCAGCCAACAAAAAGAAATCAGACAAACTCCCTTAGAAGCTAACTGAAATATTAAACCATACGGATTATTTATAAATGCTGATTTTCTTAACGGCATAGTAGTAACATTGAGGAATATGCAATTTGTATGATAAATGGCTTTGTGGGCATCTGGCTTGGGGTTTTCTACTTGAAATTCAACATAGTGCACTCAGCTGACTTTTCCCTCAGGTTGGTAGTCTATGCCTTTTACACTGTTGATTTCAAGGTTTTCCTGTGAACTTGATAAATATTATCCTTTGTGAGAAGCTGCATCCTAAGAAGTGTCTCCTCTTTTTCTCTTTTAGCTGGATACACAGTATCGTCGCTCATGTGCAGTTGAGTATCCGCATCAGGCCAGACCTGGCAGGGGATCTGCAGGTACAGGTGGAGCCACGGCCCTTATTTACTACTGTGTGGTTAAGACCCAGCCTTTGTCTTTTTTCCTACATCTGTTTCCCCTTCTTTCAGATTTTCTTGGATTTATTGTTTTCTCATATCTTTGTAAATCACCTAAAATTCATTTTGGAACATGGGGTATAATAAAAAGCTAGGAGGGTTCTATTGCTCAGAGCCAAAAAGTTTCAGATTCTTGTTTTCTTCACACCATGTAAATTAACTTCTCACTACTTTGGTAAACTGCTTTGATTTTTAATCTAAAAAGTTTAACCCAAATTAGTCCTTATTATAACGTTCAAAATATTCTTTGAGAACATGGCATGGATTTTGTTATGTAAGCAAAAGTCATATTCCTATGGATTAAACTGCTTTGATCAGTTAATCTGTTAGGCCAAGGTAAGAAAAGAAATTCTAAACCATCAGGATATGCTAAGTCTGATTCTATCCCATTAACTCTTTTTATCTTTAAACTATACTCTGTAGATGTACTAACAAAGAAGTGACGGGAGAAAATTGAGGGATTTTTTTTTGAGACAGTCTCACTCTGTTGATCGGGCCAGAATGCAGTGGCACGATCATGGCTCACTGTAGCCTTGAACTCCTGGGCTCAAGGGATCCTCCCACCTAAGCCTACCACAAGGGGCTATAAGCAGTGCCACCATGCCCAGCTAATTTATTTTTTGTACAGACAGGGTCTCGCTATGTTGCCCAGGTTGCAGGATGTCTTAATTCTTCCTGTGACAGTCTTACCACCATCAGGGTCATTCTTATATATGCTCAAGGTAAATTTATAAGTAATGAACAGTTGAGATGTTTCCTGTTAATAAGATTAATCAGCAACTACAGTAAAAAACTAGTCTGCCTCAAACCATCTTTGTAGTCCAAGTGATTTCCCAGCTCAGTTCCCGGTAGCACTGTCTGGTAGAGTCTTTGAATGCTTTCGTCAGATTCTGCTTTCAGATCTGCATTTGAACTATCATTTCAGCTACATTGAAAGTCAGGTATAACTGGCCGGGTGTGGTGGCTCACACCTGTAATCCCAGCACTTTGGGTGGCTGAGGCGGGCAGATCACGAGGTCAGCAGATCGAGACCATCCTAACACAGTGAAACCCCATCTCTACTAAAAATACAAAAAATTAGCCGGGTGTGGTGGTGGACACCTGTAGTCCCAGCTACTTGGGAGGCTGAGGCAGGAGAATGGTGTGAACCCGGGAGGCGGAGCTTGCAGTGAGCTGAGACAGTGCCACTGCACTCCAGCCTGGGCCACAGAGCGAGACTCTGTCTCAAAAAAATAAAGAAAGGTGTAACTAATGTTAACACTGAAGTGAGTAAATCAGACATCTTGGTTCTTTTTAATTAGTGGGCTCTTCTGCAAAACTAGTTCACTGCTTTCATACCTTAAGAAAGTCCAATTCATAACTGGAGCAAAAAAGCCCTTAGCTATAAACTTGAGAGTTATTATCAAACCTAGACTGCCTACTAATGTTACTCTATGTCATCTGACAGGTCCTCAGTTACATGGGTCTACAAAATCTCAAAGCAGAGGCGGACCAGTCTCTCGAACCAGGAAGGGACCATAAGGCAAATGAGAAGAACCTGTCAGGCTGCAGGAAACACGAGATTTCATGAAGCCGTATTCAGTCATCAAGTGATGTAGAGCTTGTATAGAAGATCGACTAGAAACCATCTTCATGAAGGGTGATTTTGGCACAAGTGACTGAAGAACAAAACAGCACAGCCGCCAAAAATGACATGCGTGTTTTTTCTATCTCCAGTTACTGTCTCTTTCAGCAGAAATTAACCTATTCCATTGGAAAGAAAAGTTTGTACCCAAAGATGCAACAATGAATAATAGCCAAATCACTGCTCATGTTGTCTCTTAACAATGATCAGTTCAATCATATAGGATTTGATGAGCTCACACATACATAAAAAGCAGGAAATGATCAGTGACAATATCACTGGCTTCAGAATACTTCAGCTTGTGTTCATTTCTGGAGAGCTATACTCAGTTTTAAGTCATTTTGCTGTCAAAAATCTGACCTCATCCAACAGACGTCATTCCTAAAACTCTCTTTAGATGTCCTACCCTATTAACAGATTAAAATGGAAGGGGTGTGTAACTAAAGACATAAATGTTAAGCATTAAAGTAACTTATGTAATAAAGTATATTGCATATTTTTTTAGATAGGACAGTTCAACCTTATGATGCCTACCTGATGGCGGGTTATGCTTATTTTCTTCCTAAAATAGGTTACTGGTCATATCTTTTTTCCAAATATTAAATGCACCTTGCCAGATATTCGCCTGCAACTCTAAGGAAAGTAAGTCAAAAAATAATTTGTAGAATCTACTATTGGGCCAAAGTATAATTCCCTAAAAGTTTAAGAAACCCTGGCAATTAATTCAGCATAAACATATCCTATAAACAGCAGGAGAGGTTCAGCTTCCTGACTTTACTGTGGACCTTTTCCTAAGGGCATTCATGAAAGCAGCAACAGTTTTAACTATGGCTTAAATTTATTTTAAATTTCACTAAATACAAATCTTGATTGTCATGCCAGTTTTAGATCTTATTAATTTTCAGAATGGATAAATTCAATAATCATAAATTACAATAACATTTTTTTATACCAAGGTGTTCTAATGCCATATGAAGACAGATGCTTCAAAGAACCTGCATTAAATTATATTTTTAATACAATTAAAAACTATTTTTAACCTATTTGTAGTCACAAACTGAAAATGTGTCGTCTTTACCTTAGAGCTAAAGGCTTACTTTATGCATATGGCATATTTAATAGTCTAAAAATCAAACATTTAAACAGTTCCTAAAAAAGTTCCATATATTCTCATACCAACTCATCTAAATAGAAATGAAAATCTCTGTATTGTTCTCACAAACCATTACCACAAGTTCACTATAACAATTAGATCGGCCGGGCGCGGTGGCTCAAGCCTGTAATCCCAGCACTTTGGGAGGCCGAAACGGGCGGATCACGAGGTCAGGGGATCGAGACCATCCTGGCTAACACAGTGAAACCCCGTCTCTACTAAAAAATACAAAAAACTAGCCAGGCGAGATGGCGGGCGCCTGTAGTCCCAGCTACTCGGGAGGCTGAGGCAGGAGAATGGCGTGAACCCAGGAGGCGGAGCTTGCAGTGAGCTGACATCCCGCCACTGCACCCCAGCCTGGGCAAGAGAGCCAGACTCCGCCTCAAAAACAAACAAACAAACAAACAAAAAATTAGATCAATATCGCTTGCCTTTCAAAGTTAAAGAGTCAGAAAGGGGCCTCTAAGAAGTCATTTAGCCCAATTCCCTCACCCTGTTTTCCCTCAAAGCCGGTGCAATTTTTTTTAAACCAAAAAACTGGACATATTTAATACATACAGTTTGACAAGTTTGTATTTCACTCTTTGTTTTGATGTAATAACTTTTATAAAAGGAGACAGATTCAGACAAGCTCAGTGAAAGACATTCAGCAATCAGTGGCAGGACTACAACACACATCTCTCTATGCTAGGGAAACCAAGCTCTCTATTATAAAGCTGACAGGGGCTATTGTTTTCCACTTTTCTCTCATCCTAAACACCATTCGCATTTCTTCTAGGTCACATTTTTACTGGGATCATTTACAAAGCCCCCAGAACTTAATCATCATGTTTTACTTTTTTATTTAATCATATACAACTCTTACAAAAATGCTTGAAGTAATTTAACACCCGTACATCAGTACAAAACCTGGCTGAGTAAAATGAAGAGAGGGTCTATTCAAGATCATTAAGACCAAATGTAAACTGGGAAGTATGTGGAAGACAGCTGTCCAGCAAGTATTTGGAAGATGTTCTAGCTGGGTAGAGAGCCTAATCTAACAGACACGCACACTGCAGAAAACAGCATGAACAGAACCACATCTTAGATAAGAGTTCTGTGTACCGAAGATCTATGGAGGCAAGTGCTGTCAGGAAGGACACTACCTCCCTCCGCCCTCCCAACCGTCACCACCAAGTTCCTTCTGGTAAGACCTCACGCAATGGCAAGTGCTTTCTAGGAAATACTAAGATGCTTGGTCCAGTCAATCTGAAAAATTCAGGCTGGAAAGACACCTTTTCTCAAGAGTTGACTTTTGCCTTCAAATCTTGCCTGCACCTTGCCTACGATGGCATCAATTTACACCTAAGGACCTTTGAAGAGAAAACTTCCATTATTTCTTTTCTTTCTTGAGAGATTTTTTCCCTCCTCCTTTGGAAGATTTGCAGTACTTTGCTTCCATCTGAGCCAGAAAATTGTCCATTTCCTTTTGCCGATCCTTTTGTCTGCTCTGTTTGAGAAGTTAAAACACAAGCTTTCACAACATTATCCATAGACAGAAGGTACTTAGTGGTTGCCAGGGGCTGGAAAAGTGGAGTAACTACTAATGGGTAGGAGTTTTTTTGGAATGGTGAAAATGTCCTACAATTGGTGTTAATAATTGTAAAACTTTGTAAATACATTAAAAACCACCAAACTGTACACTTTAAAAGGACAAACGGATGGTATGCGACTTACGTCTTAAAAGAAGAAAACAAAATACAACATTCCAAAGAAAATATTAGCAATAGGAATCAGATCATTAAAGATGTGGCAACAAACTGCCAAGTTTACCTGAATGGCTGCCTTCAGGCTATCTACGCCTTCATCAAGCCCCAACTCCTTTCTGCTCATTTCTGCTTCTTTCGCCTCTTCCTGAGCCTGAAACAGAAACTCACATGAGACTCAGGGCCACCAGAAAATGCTTAAAATACATTCTCTTTCCCAAAAACAAATCTATAATACTGTTTCAATTTGAGGATTATATGAATAGACAAAATGAACAGAATTACATAACTATGTCATTCATTAAAAGGCAACAATGCTGATAGCAAGCATAGATCCTCCGATTCCAATTACCATTTGTTTTTTCCCCAATTCTACTTACTAGAGGTAGCAAGTACTTTGGCACTCATAAATCACATGGTGATAAAAGGGAACATGAGGCCAGATACGGTGGCTCACACCTGTAATCCCCATACCTTGGGAGGCCAAGGTGGGAGGATTACTGGAACTCAGGTGTTTGAGACCCACCTAGGTAACACAGCGAGACCTTATCTCTACAAAAAATAAAAGAAATGAGCCTGGTGTGGTGGTATGTGCTTGTAGTCCCAGCTACTAGGGAGGCTGAGGTGGGAAGATGGCTTCAGCCTGGGAGTTCGAGGCTGCACTGAGCTGTGATCATGCCTCTGCACTCCACCCTGGATGATGGAGTGAGATGCCATCTCTTAGAAAACAGAAGGAAAAAATAAAAAAAGAAAGAAAGAAAGAAAGAAAATGATGCAATTGCTAGGATACAGGTACTTCTGATTCCTCCCCTGGAAACCCAATTTACTACATGGGACTGGTGGTGCCTTGTGAACAACCCCAGTTTAAAATGACTTCTGGGTAGTCAGAAGAAACATCATCAATAAACTCAGTTTTAACATTTACTTACCTGATTTCAAAACAGCCTTCCTTTGCCAAGTGTTCCTAGAGCATTGTTTACAAAATACCACAAGCACACCTTAGGGTAACAACTATAAGATGCCCCAACACCCCTTGTGAATTTTCTAACTAGCAATTAATGCTATTAATACTGAGGATGATGATACATTAGGATCCCCATCCCAATAAGACACCCATTTCCTTGTATTCAAATTATCTCTTTAAATTCAGCATCCCCCTAAGGTTTGTTGAACAGTCTCTCAAAACTATGCCATTTTTCTCCTCAAACTCTAGGGAAGTTTCTCAAGTTAACAGTCTACTGTGAATGCAGCTGTGCTCAGTTTCATCTCAGGAAATGAACAACTTAAGATTTGACTGTCAGCTGGAGTCTTAGCAGGTGTAGCCTATGAACCAAAATGCTCTTGATATACACTCCACTGCTCCCCTCAGCTCACCAGAAAGGTCAGCCTCTTATTTAGGCAAAACAGGCCCTTTGAATTTTCACCGGAAACAAAAACGTCAGCTTTCTCTCCGCATGCATCTCCTATGTAAAAGCTGCAGAAAAGTTCCTGAGGGCACTCAGGAGGGCAGCAATGGTTCTAAAAAGTTGTGTGCTCCTTAAGAGAATCTAATGCCTGATGATCTAAGGTTTCATCCTGAACTACCCCCCCAACTCTCCTCACCCCCACTGTCACTGGAAAAACTGTCTTCCACAAAACAGGTCCCTAGTACCAAAAAGGTTGGGGACGGCTGAAGTTTTTCTTTAAAAAAAAGAAAGAAAACAAATTCTGTGTTCAACTCAAGAATCAAACTCTGGGCAAAGGCCCAAAAATCTGCACTTTTAACAAGACAGTCTCTGTCATTCTCTTTTTACCCCCTCAACCGAGTAAGGATCACTGCCCATCCTGTGTACCTGGGTTCCACTAACTTTATCTCCTGAGAAATGCCTCAGCAATGCTATAAGAATTGGCCCATAAGAAATAAGATTTCAGCGCTACTTTACTATGGTAATATTTAAACAATCTATGCAATAAAAATCATCTTAAGCACAACATACTAGAAAAAGGTTTCTCTTGATAAACTGGTATGCCCATTTTATTAGATCAGAACTGTAGATCAAGTTAACCCTAGTCCTTACTTCTGGAGTTTTATATTTACTTCCACTGCTGTAAATACCCTCAAATCCTTTTTGGAAGCAGTCAAAATATAAATCAACAGTATTCAAAATCTTACCCTTCTTTTCCTTGCATTCATCTTTTGTTTCGATTCTTTGACAAAGGCATTATAGGATGGGATCTCTCCGGCGTCAATAGCCTGCTGAATGATACTCCTTATCCTAGGTTCCTCTGTGTACTGCACGCAAAGCACAGACTCCATGATCTGATCCATGTCACCCTTGAAGTCCAGATAGGCCTGTTTAATATCGGCCAGCTCTTCTTCCGAACCTTTGTATGTCTTTTCAAAAGCTTGAATGTCCTCTAAAGATATCTGATAACAAAGGAGATTTGCTTTAACTTTGAGGATTTTACTTTAAATAAAAGATACATTAGTAAAACTAGAGTTAGGTGTTGAATTGCTGCAATGCAACAGTTGCTTGAGCTGAAATTATTGAACCAGATTTTCTATGCTTAAGCTTTTCCGGAGTCCTCCTTTTTAAATCCAATCTTCATATCTGCTAACTAGGGACCAGAGAAGTTTCCAACGGTGAAAGGAGATCCAGAATCAGGACTTACATTTGGATATGTAAAATAAAGAACATCTTGCAAAAAAATAAATCTGCCCTTTTCAGTGCAACAATCACATTAACAGGAAATTTAAAGCCTGTTTCAGTAAGTGTGCGTGTATTTATATTTCAAGGCCAAACTCAAAAATTTTAATTCCTACAAAATTAACACAAAATACAAGATCTTCGAGGCAGTCAATAAAGGTTTGTTGATTGATGGTAACAGCCATAAAGAAATCTCCAGAGTCCTTTACCTTTTTAAAGAGTAGCCGCCAATACGCCTCCCAGTCTCGGTCTTGGGTGAGCACAGGAGAGTCCTCGTCCACTGTTCCCTGCTCATCGTACACTGCTCTCTGTTCTCTGTCACTGAGAACGGAATAGACTTTTCCCAAGATCTGAGGGCAGAGAGTATCCGTAAATCGCCCCTGCTCCTCCCACCGAAACCGCGGCGCGAGAAATAAAGATCAGAAGGCGCCAAGCGGAGCTCAGCGCGCTCCCCCCGGACGGGGTCCGGCGGCCAAAAGGCTGGGGACATCCTGGCGGCCCGTCGGCCTCGGGGCGTGACCCTGCATACCTGGAAGCGGCGGGTGGCGTCCTCTTTGTCGCCCTCGCCCACCCGGTCCGGGTGTACCTGCAGGGACACCTTGTGGTAGCCTCGTCGGACCTCGCCGTCGGAAGCCTGGCGTCGCACACCCAGCACCCGGTAAAGGTCGGCGGTGCCGAACACTTCCTCGCAAAGCTCCAGCAGCCCCATGCCGGGCAGGGATACGACCTCAGAGGAAGCAGCTGCTGCCAACCGTGCCGGGTACAACCCCGGACTGCTTCTTTTTCCCGCCCAAAATGCCCAGGGCGCCTGCGTCACAAGCACTGAAGGGGCGTGACCACCCCCCCGCGCGCGCGCGCATCCGCGCTTTACGGCGGCCGCAAAACGAGCCGTGACGAGGCAGGCGCCGGCCCCAGTAAGTAACACCGGCGCGTGGAGTCGGAGTCCTCGGCCGGCCGCGCGCAGGAGCCAGGTCTTCAAGGAAGTGATGTTGCTCCGTTCTCTCCTCCCCTTGCTCTGGAAATCTGGAGTTCGTCTTACCTTTTAGTGTCCCAGAACAGCTTTTTCAAAAAGTTCATATATTAGCTTGAATTTACAAACTGCTGGCCTATTTTTTAAGTAGAAAATGGCCAAACATCAGCATTCAGCAATTTCACATGGTTCAACAGATGTTTTTTTTTCAAAAATGTTCCTGAAAGGAACAGGTAAAGCTGTAGACCCAAATAATTTTGCACCCCACTGGTTGGAAATGCTGGGGTACTTTCCCTCTAGCCCTGCAGGAAAAACCCTATACTGAAACCCAAAAAGCACAAAACACAAAAACTCTTTTACCTAACAGGACTTTCACCTTACACATTGGTGGAGGTAACATGACCCAAGCCCCCGTCTTAATAACAAACTGCTGAAGCAAAGGCGCTTTCTTTTAATGTGAAGTTCACAGCTGGGTTTGAACATGTTGGATCCCAGGTGGCAGCAGGGTAGGCTGGAGCAATCATCCAAGAGATGGTGAGAAACTTGGGCCTGGAGACCCAAAGCAAGGCTGAAGCTGGGGATAAAACTTTGGAAGTAGGATAAGCTCACAAAGGAAGTATGCGTATACATGTATTAGACAAAGGATAAACAATGCTAAGTGAATACCCGAGTTGGCAGAAAAATACCTTATCAAATCTTATCCCCTGACTGATTTAGCATTTTTCAGAATCATTCTGCTCTGCCAATAAGTTTCTGCAAAGCCTCAAACTCTCCAGGATACATTAATATCTTTTAAACCTCCCAGGGTTGCCATGATTTTCAAAGCATTTCTCTTTCCCACGTCCAAGATCAAACTCAGCTGAAGTCAGTTCCTCTCAACCTGCCCTGGCATCAAAGTCTCAAAGCAAGCAGGGGCCAACCAGCAACAACCCCGGGGGAGCTTTGCCAACCACAGAATTTAAGATGGCTGGTAATCGTTCTCAGAACATAAAACACAAAATAAGTGGGCACATTGATAGAACCTCCTCTATAAATTTCCTATATCTTAGTGACATACCAGAGTTAAGACATCTGTCTTTGCTCATTTTTTCCCCCTCTATGGACAACATAACATGTTGGGAAGGGCTTTCCAGGAGGGCATAACTGGGGTATGAATCTTACATCACTGGGCAAGTTTCCACCTCTAGGCCTCAGCTTCCCTATCTGTAAAACAGAGATAATCCTACCGGCCTTCATGCCTTACAATCGTCACGAATAATCTTGTACACAAAAGGCCTAGGACATATGTAGGTGCTTTACGATATTATCTTCCAGTTTCTCATATTTTTTAAGGTACTCAAATACATCAATTTTAACATTTTTCTATATACACATTTGCTACTGAAAATTGAAATAGCACATTGAAATACTCTTTTATTGCAACTAAAATTTTCAAAAAACCAGAAAATCAAATAAATTATTATGCTGTAGCCAAATTATGTAATGTTTTCTTTTCTTTTTGAGACAGGGTCTTACTCTGTCACCCAGGCTGGACTGTAGCAGAATGATCACAGTTAAGTATCGGCCTCCTGGGCTCAAGTGATCTTACTGCCTCAGCTTCCCGAGTAGCTGGAACTATGTGTGAGCACCACCATACCCAGCTAATTTTTAAATTTTTTGTAGAGATGGGGTCTTGCTGTGTTGCCCAGGCTGGTCTCAAACTGGTCTCAAGTGATCCTTCCACCTCAGCCTCCCAAAGTGCTGAGATCACAGGTGTGAGCCATTGCCCCAATGGTATCTTTATATTATTTCCTCACAAGTTACTTCAAATTCTTTTTTTTTTTTTTTTTTTGAGACGGAGTGTTGCTCCGTCGCCCACGCTGGAGTGCGGTGCCAGATCTCAGCTCACTGCAAGCTCCGCCTCCCGGGTTCATGCCATTCTCCTGCCTCAGGCTCCCAAGTAGCTGGGACTACAGGCGCCCGCTACCACGCCCTGATGTTGAATTTCATCTCACTGACTTCAGGCTTTTAAAACACATGGGAATACTTGAGACCTATGGATAGTTGTGAGTCAAATAAAAAAAGTAGAGCTAAAGTATACTGAAGTTATTCAAATACATTCAAACTGTAAGATCCCTTATAAATTACTGGCATCAAGGTAGGAAGGAAAAGATACAGGAAGTAAAATGCATCACTCATCACAGGTTGTCAAAATTATTGGTATACAGTTTATCCTAACACAGGGCAGGTTTCTTAACTGTCTCCATAAAATTATCAGCAAGAAAGAAAAGTACAAGAATAAGGTTCACAGCTGAATTGGCTTGGTGTCCTAATTCCCTATTCCAGTATTCTCAGAAGGATCCCATCTATGATATATGCAGAAATCACAGCCACATTTGAATGGTTCAATCTTGATTCATTCTGAACTCCCTTAAGCCCAGCAGTTTCTCATTCTTAAAAGATAGGTTATTAAACCCCAAAAGCAATTTTCATAACAAATTTACATTTGTATATTTAAGAATATGCATTAAGGCCGGGAGTGCTGGCTCATGCCAGTAATCCCAGCACTTTGGGAGGCCAATGTGGGCGGATCACAAGGTCAGTAGATCAAGACCATTCTGGCCAACATGGTGAAACCACATCTCTACTAAAAATAAAAAAGTTAGCTGGGTGTGGTGGCACACACCTGTAGCTCCCCAGCAACTCGGAAGGGTGAGGGAGGAGAATCGCTTGAACCCAGGAGGCGGAGATTACAGTAAGCTGAGATTGCACCACCACACACAACCCTAAAAAAAAAAAAAAAAAAAAAAAAAAAAAAAAAAAAAAAAAAAAAAAGAATAAAAGAATATGCATTAAGCAAGACAATATAAATCTCCAATTACAAAATCAGTAAGAAAGGTAACTGTTTTTACACTTGCGAGATGAACATGAAGATTTGAACAGGCCGTGAATAGTCTGGCTGGGGGTTTTGAAGCAGGATGTCTTGGAAGCCAGTAGATTGTAAAGTTGTCCAAGAGACCCAGAGCCCCACTCAAAAGTCCAATCCTCCCACAGTCACTGTCTATCCCAAGACAAAGTCCAAAAAAGCTAGTTAGTACCCACATCCAGTGCTAAGTCACACAAGAACAAATCTCTCCATGGGCCCTGTGCAGGTCAGGCCAGAAGAGAAAGGGCAACTCAGGATACTCCATTTATTGAACTCCAAATCTAACAAAATTAAGATCTCTGCAGTGTTTCAAGAGAACCTTGACTTTGTTCCCACTGCTATGCTCACTAAAGTCAGCTCACTTATGTTTCTGTAGCCTCTGTATCTGTAGCTTCTGCATCTGTTTTCTGAGAAGCTAAGAGGACTTCACGTGCCCGTTTCCTTCGCAGTCTCTCAGCATTTGTGATCATCATAGGATGCAGAGGGAAAAAGCCAGCAAGACCTAAAAGCAACAGATTTTTCACTTATTATAACACCGTATAAGCCAATGCTTCCCTAGGAACTCTGTCTCACAGAACTGAGGTCTGAGATCTGACCCAGTGCATGGATGCAAACCATGCTCCTCACTTGCCAAACTCTGTACTGCTTCTCCCCGGCAAGGAGACAATGGATGTCTACTTTCTAATAATATTCCCCTTACTTTAAAAAAGATAAACTGACAGATGACCATTCAAAACATACTATTCCCATTTTTAGCATAAAATACCAGTCACCCAAAAAGTCTTACAGAGGAGTCCACAAAAGGGGCCTCCAGATTCAAAATGCCAATTAGATCACAACTTCAGCTCCCACTTCAGTCCTGAGCAGTGTAGAGGGAATGAAAATAATTCTTTTTTTTTTTCTTTGAGATGGAATCTCCCTCTGTTGCCCAGACTGGAGAGCAGTGATGCGCTCTTGGCTCACTGAAACCTCCGACTCCTGGGTTCAAGTGATTCTCCTGCCTCAGCCTCCCCAATAGCTGGGACTACAAGCGTGTGCCACCACGCCCAGCTAATTTTTTTTTTTTATTTTTAGTAGAGACGAGGTTTCACCACGTTGGCCAGGCTGGTCTCGAACTCTTGACCTTAAGTGATCCACCCGCCTCGGCCTCCCAAAGTGCTGAGATTACACCCATGAGCCACCATGCCCCGCCAAAAATCATTCTTATACCCACTGTCCTGGAGCTGACTTCAGTTTAAAATCCCCTCAATAAGATAAGACCAGAGCTGAGTTACCCAGAAGCTTTTCCATAGGCTTAGTGAGGTGGGCCCCGCAGCCAATCCAATGACAGATCCTGTCTAGGTTGAGGGCAACGATTTTTTCTCCATGACTGTTGGGCAATGGATCATAGGAGCCCAGCTGCTCTACGAAACGGCCATCCCTGGGACACTTGTTGTGAGCAACCACAATGCGGTAGAAGGGCCGGTTGGTGCAGCCACCCAGGGCAAGGCGGATGGTTAAGTGGCCCCCATGGTAGGACTTGTAGAGGAGAGCACCTGTAGAAAAGCAGCTGGTTAGGACACACACACACACACACACACACAAAAACAGCACAGAAAGGGCAAAATGACACAGACAGCACAATTCCCTTTTTCCACGGAAATGTCTCACTTCCAATCTATTCCTGTCAATTCAGTTTAGATGCTATTCTTCTTTGTGAAACCCCTCTTGGCCACTCCAGCCAGCAATGACCTCCTCCTCATACCCAAACCCACTCGGCATGGGCTTCCCATTCACTAGGCTCTGCAACCTTGTGCGAACCTTAGCTGCTTCAGTGGGGTGGAAATTTTTCACCGGTGATTAAGTGGGGAAAAAACTGAGAGGAGGATCAAATGTAAGGCAGTGTGGCTGCTTCAGGTTCGGGTTGCCTCCATCGCGCCTGGGAGAGCACTGCCCCACCCGGCCCCGAACTCCCGAGCCCCGTGACCGCCCGGTACGTCTCGCGGGGGCCCGATGACTCACTGAGGTGGACCATGGCGCTGCCGGCATACGGCTCCTCGGAGCGCCCCGCTACCCGCACGCACCAGCTCTACGGCCTTAGCAAGGCAGAAGACAGACAGAAACAAACTGCATGCCGCACCGTCAAGCAGTCCAAAGCCCGAAAACCTTGACTCCGGAAACGGATGGTCCACTCGCCCCGCCTCTTCCGCTTGCCTCCCTATACTTCCCACAATGCAACACGTACCTTAAACTGCTGCAAAAGAGGCGTTTCTCGTGGTGTCTTGTGGGCGTGACGGTGCGATCCCTCTCAGGCTTCTGAGTCTCTGCTGGAGTCAGAAGTTTTGGGCGGGCCGGGCGCGGTGGCGCAAGCCTGTAATCCCAGCACTTTGGGAGGCCGAGACGGGCGGATCACAAGGTCAGGAGATCGAGACCATCCTGGCTAACACGGTGAAACCCCGTCTCTACTAAAAAATACAAAAAACTAGCCGGGCGAGGTGGCGGCGCCTGTAGTCCCAGCTACTCGGGAGGCTGAGGCAGGAGAATGGCGTGAACCCGGGGGGCGGAGCTTGCAGTGAGCCGAGATCGCGCCACTGCACTCCAACCTGGGCGACAGAGCGAGACTCCGTCTCCAAAAAAAAAAAAAAAAAGAAGTTTTGGGCGAATCCCAGGCGCTCCAAGAGAAATGCTACACCATCCATCCATCTTGCAGGCGTTGCTGCCTAGGCGCAACGCTGAGAAGGCAAATACTAAAGGGTGCTGTCCTTTCCTCGTGGAGCTCACAGTCCGCTGGGGAGACCGTGAGATGACAGCGGAGAAACTAGGGCGATCAATAGTACTCAGTGCAAGGAGAGCGAGCAGAGAAGGCAGACTTAATGCTTGCTGAGGAAGACTTCACAGAGGAGGTAGTGTCAGGGCTGAGACGAGGAGAAGGATTATAAGTGACTAGAGTTTACTTTATCCTTCTCGTTAACTAAAACTAATTTACCTCTCACCTTTCCTCCTATTGCCATCCCACCCCTGTCGAGGCAATCACACCTTAAAAAATAAAGGAGAGGCTATTCTTGCTTTTGCCGTGCTGTGATCCAGGGCAGAGGTGAAGTATGTTTTTTTTGTTTTTTTGTTTTTTTTTAACATCTGTAGCCCTAGAATATGGCCTCAGTGATGAGGGTAATGGTGTCTCCTTGGAGCCCTAGTGGTTTAGATCCATGAAGATGCCTGTGAGAAGGTGTCAATAGTGAGAAGGTGTCAATAGCTCCACCTTCAGCAAAGACCTCTCTATTCAGCTTTTTTCGTTTATTGTTAGTTCCAAAGGGCTAACATGCTCTTTGCCCTAATACAGTGACCCAGCATAGCAGTCTTCCTCTAGGGCCACCTTTGAAAATGATGCCTTAATTCTTGTATTTCAGTTAACTGAACCTGGCCAGAGACCTTAGCACCAGACTTCCTCCAGGAGGGATCCAATAAGCTTTCATCAGAAACCCTAATAATGACCCCACTATACCTTAATTTTATTATATGTATATATATGCCATATAATTATAGCAATTACACTATAGTTATTTATATAACTAAATACCTACATATAATTCAGTATACGTTAACTCCAGAACCACACTGATGAATTTTGAGTTTCATATCTTCATTTTTTATTGTGACCCAGTTTCTTGTCAACCAGTAAAACATCCAGTAACAACAGCCAATGGAAATAAATGAATGGGTCTCTGTTTATGGTGAAGATTTTTTCGTTCTCCAGCTCCAGACTTCATATGGTGAAACTCTCTGGGAAGGAAAGGAACTCAGAGTCTCATACGGAAAATTGTTCAGCTGGAGGGGTATCAGAAAGATGGATTTCCAAAGCCAACTGTTTCCTGTAGTGTGTGGATCTCTGCAAGCAGAGCCTCATCTTTCAATTTCAGCTACATGAAAGAGAAAGAAAGGGAAATATATATGTCATATGTGATATACTTTATGTGGCTTTGAAGACCCCTCTTTTGTGGGGCTACAGCTAAAGAACATAGTTCCCGGGGATGGAATTGGCTCTTCCTATATTCCCTACTTCATGAAAACTCCAGTAGAAGACCTTAGAACCTTGTCCTGGTTACATGGATATGTTTACTTTGTGAAAATTCATCAAGCACTTTGAACAGTCATGATTTGTACATTTTTTTGTAAGATAACTTCATTAAAGTCTACTTTTTTATTTTTAAAAAGTGTTCACATTATTACCAGCATCTCTTGGCTAATGCATAGTATTCCCATCTGACAAGTGATATCAGGGAATCAGAGACAGAAATCATAGGCTTATATTAGATCTGGTTTTAGTTTTAGAATCTAGATATGTAGTAGAGGCATCTAGGAGCCTACTGAATACCGATTTTTTCTTAGTAATAAAATCTTAATTTCTTTTCAAGGCAGCAATGCAATCAGCTAAAAAGCCACATTTTCCTGCTTCCCATGCAGCTAGAGGTAGTCATGACCAATTGTGGCCCAATTAAATGTAAACTAAAGTCATTGGGTAGGACACCTGGAGAAGCCCTTTATTTAGGGAAAGTCCTTTAAAGGGAAGTGAAGTAGCATGGCCCCTTTTTCCTTTTTCCCTTATTGTTCTTTATCTTGCCTGAGACATGGATATGATAGCAAGTTACACTGGCTGTCTTGCAACTATGAGGGATAGAAACTGCATGCTACAATTAGTGGAGCACAAAGATAGATGTTGGGTTCCTTGATGACATTGTGGAGCTGCAGTATGAGCCCTGGACTTTTCATTAGATGAGAAAAAACTAACTTGTTTAAACCACTGTCTTTCAAGTCAAGTTACTTGGAATTCATAACTAATAGAACAGGCCAGGCATGGTGGCCCCCACCTGTAATTCCAACACTTTGGGAGGCTGAAGTGGGCAGATCACTTGAGACCAGGAGTTTGAGACCAGCCTGGCCAACATAGCAAAGCCGTGTCTCTATTAAAAATACAAAAATTAGCTGGACATGGTGGCACATACCTGTAATCCCAGCTACTTGGGAGGCTGAGGCACAAGAATCGCTTGAACCGGGAGGTGGAGGTTGCAGTGAGCTAAGATCGTGCTACTGCACTCCAGCCTGGGCAACAGTGCAAGACTCTGTCTCAAAATATATATGTATATGTAACTGATAGAACAGACCAGGGGTTGTTCATGAGCCAAATCCAGCTCATTACCTGTTTTTTATTTGTTTGTTTTTGAGACGGAGTCTTGCTCTGTCGCCCAGGCTGGAGTGCAGTGGCATGATCTCGGCTCACTGCAAGCTCCACCTCCCGGGTTCACACCATTCTCCTGCCTCAGCCTCCTGAGTAGCTGGAACCACAGGTGCCAGCCACCACACCCTGCTAATTTTTTTGTATTTTTAGTAGAGACGGGTTTTCACCGTTAGCCAGGATGGTCTCCACTTCCTGACATTGTGATCCAGCCACCTCAGCCTCCCAAAGTGCTGGGATTACAGGCGTGAGCCACCGTGCCCAGCCACTACCCGTTTTTTTGTAAATAAAATTGTACTGGAATACAGCCATTCACTTATGTATTATCTATAGCTGCTTTTGTACTACAAGTGCAGAGTTCAGTAGTTGCAACAAACTATTTGGCCTACAAATCCCCCAAAATTTCCTATTTTGCCCTTTACAGAAAATGTTTGCTGACCCCCTAGACTAGACCAACCCCTACATATTACACGAGGAAAATGAAGCCCACAATATTAACACAGTAAGTTAATGGCAAAACCAGAATCATAATTCAGGTTGACTGACTCCCAGGCTACTTTTCTATTAACTATTATATATTCTCTCTAAAGAGTTGAAAGAAAGATCACCCATGATAATACATAGGTTATCATTACAAACCCAGCAGCCCCACAACAATGGCAAAGATGGTAAGAAAAGCCTCTAGAAAAATATTCACATTATGAAAGTCCTGAATTAAGCCAGTACCTCCCTCCTAATTTCCCACCCTCAACATGGGGCAGGCAAATGACAGAGGCATCTGTGTCATACCTTAATCATGTACTTGTAGGCCTGCTCAGCTTCTAATTGCCGCCCAACCTGAAAAAAAGGACAGCAGCTGGTGATGATGACAGGTCATAAACATTATGGTAAGGAAAATACATTGCCTCAGTTAAGGCAGAGGCACCTACACCTAAGGCAGAGGCTTCTACACCTTCCAGTTAAAACTTCTGAATTCAGAGGGAAAGCTAGCAAATGAAAGATGGTAGGGAGAAAAAGGTTTTTTAAAAAAAAAAAAAAAATCCTCCTGGCTGGGCACAGTGGCTCATGCCTGTAATCCTAGCACTTTGGGAGGCCGAGGCGGGTGAATCACGAGGTCAGGAGATTGAGATCATCTTGGCTAACACGGTGAAACCGCATCTCTACTAAAAATACACAAAATTAGCTGAGTTTGGTGGCACGTGCCTATAGTCCCAGCTACTCGCAAGGCTGAGACAGGAGAATCGCTTGAACCCAGGAGGTGGAGGTTGCAGTGAGTTGAGATTGTGCCACTGCACTCCAGCGTGGGCGACAGAGTGAGACTCCATCTCAAAAAAAAAAAAAAAAAAAGGAAAAAAATTCCTCCTTCATTTTGAAAAGCTTAAAGATAACCTGGCCTCTCACCTTTTTGAAAGCACCATGAGTCATTTGTTCCTCTTAGGATTGAAACCATTCTGTTAATAATAATTAACACTTACCAGTCCATACTATGTGATTTACATTGTTTTCATTATTGATATTGTTTTTAGTGCTTTAAGTTCATTCTTGCCGGGCACAGTGGCTCAAGCCTGTAATCCCAGCACTTTGGGAGGCCGAGACGGGCGGATCACGAGGTCAGGAGATCGAGACCATCCTGGCTAACACGGTGAAACCCCGTCTCTACTAAAAAGTACAAAAAACTAGCCGGGCGAGGTGGCGGGCGCCTGTAGTCCCAGATACTCCGGAGGCTGAGGCAGGAGAATGGCGTAAACCCGGGAGGCGGAGCTTGCAGTGAGCTGAGATCCGGCCACTGCACTCCAGCCTGGGTGACAGAGCCAGACTCCATCTCAAAAAAAAAAAAAAAAAAAAAAAGTTCATTCTTAATCCTCAAGACCTAGGAGATAACTACTATTATTTATTATTCCCAGTTTACAGAGAGGATAAGTAACTTGTGAGGGTTATGAAGCTAGTAAGTAGAGGAGCCAGGTTTAAAACAATGCAGTTTGACTCCAGAGTCCAAGTTTTTAACTACTACATTACTCTGTCTCTAGGAATTAGAAAAAGTAGGTATCAGAATTACTTCTATGAAGATCTGGATATGAGATAAGAACACTACTCCCCCCAGCTGATATTATTCTTTGCATGAAGCACTCCTCCAGAAGTTAAATGAGATAATATGAATCCACTATTCTACTTCTTGAGTTTGTCACATAGTAACTAACTTAGAATATCCAAAGTCACTTAGTAAAGCTTAAATATGTAATAACCACAGAATGTTCAGGTCTGAAGGGGACCTGGGGAATATCTAGTCCAATTTTCTGACTAATGCTAGTCCATATGAAAGTTTTACTAGTTCACAAAACTTTCATACCCTAAACCCTTACTTCCTACAAATCTACACTTTGAAATGTTCCCACCTGAAGTTCACTGAATTGCCAGCAGCATTTTCCAGCACACCTTCCCTTCCTACCACTATTACTTTGTTTCCCTCCTGCCACAAGGAGGCAGAGGCCCAAATGATGTGAAGATCCAGAATAGCCAAAACAATTTTGAAAAATAATTTTTCTGCTATCATGAACACTGCTGCAGTAAACATACTTGTACTTACCTTCTTCTTCTCCTTCCTCTTTTTGTTTTGAGACAAAGTCTCACTGTCACCCAAGCTGGAGTGCAATGGCACGATCTCAGCACTCTCGCGATCTCAACACTGCAACCTCTGCCCCCTGGGTTCAAGCGATTCTCCTGCCTCAGCCTCCTGAGTAGCTGGGATTACAGATGTTGTACATATCTTCTTGTATTTTTCTTAGGATTATATCTAGCTATTGCATTGCCAAATTGTAGACAATAATATAACTAAATGATGCCACATTGTACTTAAAAGTGGTTGTGCCAATTTACATCCAATTGCAATTATGAGAATCTTCATCAGTGCTTGCTGCAGGAAGTCAGGGACCCTGAATGGAGGGACCAGCTGGAGCCATGGCAGAAGAACATAAATCGTGAAGATTTCATGGACATTTATTAGTTCCCCCAAATTAATACTTTTATAATTTCTTACACCTGTCTTTAGTGCAGTCTGTGAACATAAATTGTGAAGATTTCATGGACATTTATCACTTCCCCAATCAATACTCTTATAATTTCCTATGCCTATCTTTAATCTCTTAATCCCGTCATCTTCATAAACTGAGGATGTATGTCACCTCAGGATCCTGTGATGATTGCGTTATCTGCACAAATTGTTTGTAGAGCACGTGTGTTTGAACAATATGAAATCTGGGCATCCAAAAGGAACAGGATGGCTGCAATTTTCAGGGAACAAGGGAGATAACTATTGGTCCTCACTGCCTGGGGGCCAGAGAGAACAGAGTCATATTTCTCTTCTTACAAAAGCGAATAGGAGAAATATCACTAAATTCTTTTTCTCAGGAGGGAACAGCCCTGAGAAAGAGAATGCATTCCCAGGGGTATGTCTCTAAAATGGCTGCTCTGGGAGTGTCTGTCTTATATGGTTGCAGATAAGGGATGAAATAAGTCCCGGTCTCCTGTAGGGCCCCCAGGCTAATTAGGATTAGGAAATTCCTGCCTAGTAAATTTTAGTCAGACCAGTTGTCTGCTCTCAAACCCTGTCTCCTGATAAGATATTATCAATGATAATGTGTGCCCAGTGGGACATGAAATTTCATTAGCAATTCTAATTTCGCCCTAGTCCTGTGATCTCGCTCTGCCCCCATTTGCCTTGTGATATTTTATTCCCCTTGAAGAATGTGATCTCTGTGACCCACACCCTATTTGTACACCCTTCCCCTTTTGAAATCCATAATAAAAACTTGCTGGTTTTGCAGCTCAGGGGGCATCACGGAACCTGCCGACATGGGAGGTCTCCCCCAAACACCCAGCTTTAAAATTTCTCCTTTTGTACTCTTTCCCTTTATTTCTCAGACCGGCTGACACTTAGGGAAAATAGAAAAGAACCTACATTGAAATACTGGGGGCTGGTTCCCCCGATAAGTGCTAATACCATACTTAAATTTTTGCCAATCTGATGGCGGTGAATTTCTGCCACATCATTATTCTAAATTGCATTCTTATGCTTACTAGTGACACAGAGCTTCTTCTCATACATGTATTAACTTTTACAATCCCCACATTAGCAAACTGCATATTCCTATGTTGTCCCCCATGCCCCTCCCCCTCCTTTTTTTTTTCTTTTTTGAGACAGGGTCTGGCTCTGTCATTTAGGCTGGAGTGCAGTGGCACAATCACAGCTCACTGCAGCCTCAACCTTCCAGGCTCAAGTGATTTTCCCACAGTTTTAAAGTTGGAAACTCAGGTATAACAAATGACACTAAAATAAAGTTTAAGGACTTTATTATAAATATTTGCAGAATTTATAACAGAGGATTAGCATCCAGGTTATATAAACAGCTGCTACAATAAGGAAAATCTCTACAATCTGATTTTAAAATGGGCACAGGGCTGGGTGCAGTGGTTCATGCCTGTAATCCCTGCACTTTGAGAGGCTGAGGGGGAAAGATTGCGTGAGCCCAGGTGTTTAAGACCAGCCTGGGCAACACGGTGAGACTCTGTCTCTATAAAAAATGAAAAAATTAGGCGTGGTGGCATACATCTGTTGTCCCAGCTACTTGGGGGGCTGAGGCAGTAGGATCACTTGAGCCCAGTAGGTCGAGGCAGCAAGTGAGCTGTGTTCCTGCCACTGCACTCCAGCCTGGGTACCAGAGCAAGAGCCTGTCTCAAGAAAAACGAAAAAAAAAAGACTCAGATCTTAGATCTTTAGGGTTGGGCACAGAGGCTCATGCCTGTAATCACAGCTCTTCGGAAAGCTGAGGCATGAGGATTACTTGAGGCCAGGAGTTCAAGACTAGCCTGGGCAACATAGTGAGACTCTGTCTCTACACAAAATAAAATAAAATAAAATAAATTATCCAGGAGTGGTGGTGCATGCCTGTAGTCCCAGCTACTCCAGAGGCTGAAGCAGGAGGATCCCTTGAGCCCAGGATCATTCCACTGCACTGCACTCCAGCCTCAGAAACAGAGCAAGACCCTATCTCTTAAGAAAAAAAACTTAGGTCTTTAAACCAGTTGGAATTGTGTGTGGTGTGTGAGGTAAGGAACTAATTTTTTTTTTTTTAATGTGGATAGTAGCCAGTTGTCCTATCACCATTTAGTGAAGAATCCATCTGTTTCTCATTTTGCAGGTGCTATATAGTGTCTTTATAAAAAATAGCTATATTAAGGCATACCTTAAATGCCATAAAATTCACTAATTTTAATGTTATGTTGTGCAAGCATCAGCACAATCCAGTGTTAGAAGACTCCTACTACTCCAAAAAGTTCTTTCATGCCTGTTTGCACTTACTCTCCATCCTCACCTTTGGCTCCAGGCAACCATTGATCTATTTTCCTTATTTCAAGTAAATAGAATCAAATAATATATAGTCTTCTGTGCCTTGCTTTTTTCACTTACCATAATATTTTTGAGGTTTATCCATATTATTACATGAATCAGAATTTCATTTTAACTGCTGAGTAGTACTCCATTGTGTAAATATTCCTCATTTTGTTTACCCATTCACTGATGGACATGTAAAATGTTCCCAGTTTTGTGCTATTATTAAATGCTGTGATAAAAATTCGTATACAAATTTTTGTGTGGACATATGTGTTCATGTCTCTTAGCTAGATATAGAGAAGTAGAATTGCTGGGACATATGGTAAATATATGTAACTTTTTTAGAATCTGACAAACTGTTTACCAAAGTGTTGTACCAATTTACAACCCTATCAGTAATGTATGAGGATTCCAGTTTATCACATCCTTGTTAATACTTGGCATTGTC